GAAAACAAACATTTACGATCATGGATTAACAAAAATTCTAATTATGGGTTACAAAAAACCTAAAAATTACGAATCATGGATTACAAAAAAACAAAACAAATTACGATCATGGATTAAACAAAAAATCGAATCAAGTATTAAACAAAAAATCTAATCATGGAGTACAACAACAACAAAAAAAAAAAAAAAAAAAAAAAATACCGTACGGGACTCGCCGATTCACTGTTCGGACTCGCCGATTCCGTACAGTGAATCGGCGATTCACTGTACAGAATCGCCCGGTTCTCTTTAGAACCGGGCGATTTTCGATTTTTTAGGCGATCCGGTCCCCTTTTCACGAGTTCCGAGTCGAACCGGGCGAATCCGATTCGACTCGGCGTTTTTTAAAACACTGTGGATAACCATTACCCATTTGGGTGTCATGAGACACATTATGATTAGTGGCTGGATTCAAACTCTTGCCTAAGCAAGGGGCATTAAGAGGAGTGTTATGTTCATCTAGTTTATCACAAGTGCTCACACACAGAATGATTCCTGATACATCTATTGTGCATCTCGGATTCGACACGCATATTTCAGATTCAACACATGTCATGTGTGGGTCCCCCAAGTATGCCCTCAATTGTTATTTCTTGAAAAAATATATAGAATTTCTCATTTTTTGCTCAAAAGATTGAAATAAATTTTTAAAAACTCCAAAAAATTCACAAAAATATTTTTCATTGAAGTAATACATCTTGGTACCATTTTGAAAATATTATAAGGGAATTTATGATCCTATGGCGCTCAATTTGGTATCATAACACTACACTCAACTAGGCTAGAATCGACAATCACCTTCTCAGTATGATCCAACAAAGCTATGACCTACAATACTAATCAATGACTCGTTTGTGGCTTATCAAAATCAATCCAATATGTGGCTAGGGACTCTTAGGTTGTAGTGGACTATAAGTTCACCCCCAAGGATATGCATTCAAAGGAATGCGGGGGTCCTTTTTCGAAACATGTGCATATCTATCCCAAGTGGATCAACATGGTAGAGTGGCTTCCCTTTTGCGCTTCTATATGCACATGCTATGAGAAAGCTTAATGTCAGGTATTTAGGTTTATGCCCTCTCTAAGTTTTGACTTTCTCAAACATGGCTAAAACATAGAAAATACTCAAGTTCATATCATCATTAGTCATTCACATGCACAATGCCCTGGCATCACATAGTCTTGAAGCGTAAATTAAAACTGGCCCTTACTAGAGATAACTCTCAACCCTCATGGAGGCTCTCATAGACACTCATGACTCTTGGGGTTATGCCACTCTTGGTCCCAGTTCACCAAGATCTAATAATCATATCGGTCTCATATGCTCCCAGTATGGTCAAGAGCAATAATATGTCAAGGTTTTGAGGCCTTGAAAGGCTATAATTCCAACACCCAAAGCTTCTCCTTTTATCCCATGATGAAAACATAGAACTTAAAATACTCCAATAATAAGATTTACAATATAGAAGAAAAATTCAAAGTCTTCCTTAGACTCTTTTTGAGCCAAGCCCAATAAGTATGCAAAGTGACTTTCAATTTTCGTTTGAATCTTGTGGCCCCATTTGGACAGCTCAATGACTCTATTAAAGAAGAGTCATTCTGAAATAAGTGGAAACATGGGTTCTTCATAGAGTTGTAATCATAACGAGTGTGGAGATAGATATACTATTTCCGTAATTTGGCTACAACACGAGCCTGGAAAAATATGTGCCTGGAGTTTCAATTCTCGTTTTTGGATAAATTTTTTTTATCTCTGCATTTTGACTTGTTCATGCATGACTAAATGGATAAAAAGTGACCATCACTTAAAATGCCCCATGGATATAAAATTATCATCACTTAAAAATGCAGCCAAAACATTGTTTGAGGCGGCATCCAAACGAGGCCTAACGATTGTTGCATGGAAGAACATTATATGCAGCCTCGAGAAAGCTTCCACCTCATTTTTCTTGTAAAAAAAAAGAACATTATATGCAACAAGGAATGTTTGGTGTCCACCTGACGTGGATGCTCGAAGGTACACAAGCATCCTTTCCATGCCCAATATTGAATCAAGGCTAATTTGAGGGCTATACATTAATTGGTTTTTTATTTTTATTTAAATTTAATTTACAAAAAAAATTAAGGTCCACTAAAAAAAATATAAGAAAAATAATTGAAATAGAAGATTAACCACAATGGCCATTGAAACATTTAGGGATTAGTGGTTAAAACGTTTTGTTTGAAATATTGTTGTTTTATTCTACGGCCTATAACATAAAATTTCATGTAAAACTAATTCACAACAATAAAAAATAAAACAAATTTGTGGCCCTCGATTATATCGAGAGTGATCCAAACTATTGTGCACCCCTGTAGCATCTCAACATAAGCTACGACAACATATTTCCTTTTGATAACCTTTGATATGAGGGTGCAATTTCATAAACTCATTTGAAAACAGTTCGAGTTATAAATCTCTGTGATGACTTTAATATCCAGTTTCACTTCTAATTATAAAATTTGCAGCTAAAAAAAGATACAGATCTTGCCGATATGTGAACATTTGAAATAGACGATCTAAATAATGTATTACAATATTATATACTACTTTTACGACTTAAAATCTTAATTTATTTTTTATAACCTTAATGATCACGATTGAGATGATTAATTTGAAAGCCTTCCAATACGTGACCTACAATTTTGGGTGAGTTTTAAAGTGAGGCTTGACACTATTGTTTTTTGGGAAAAGTTTATATAAGGTTGCAACCTTAAAATGTAGAATCACATATGCATTTAAAAAATCTATCTGAAATGTTGATTTAATGTTGAAAAAACCTCTAATCGATTATCTCAACATTGAGATGTATGAATATGAAAAAAAAAGTTTTTGAGTATCGAAAATAGTGCATCTTGCAACGTAATATCTAGACAGTCCATTTTCAAGATTTTAATATACTTATATATCTACTTGATTTTAATTATTTTTGGAATTTTAAATTTTCTAAAGTATGGAAATAAATTTTGAGATAATACTACGAATTTTTTACAACAAAATTATATGTTATGATAAAATTTTAGGGTGCGCCTTAATTGGATTGTTTAAGGTTGCAGCTTTATAGAAACCGCACCCTTGTTTTTTTTGTAAGGCCGAGATCTTATTTCAAGTTTTACTTTGACCGTTAATTCGATGGCGTTTTTTGTGCATCACACTGCGGTTCTCTCTCTATATCGCACGTTTACGTTGTGGCCTTTTTCCCGCCAAGCTAAACCCTAGCATGGAATGAGATAGAGAAACCCTAACCGGTCGAGGAAAACCCAAATAGTAGAGCTCGGAGCTCCCCTCACCCTACAAGTTCTGTCTGCACTAATTTGTACAGTACCAAGAGTAAGATCAACACAAACCCTAGACGAAACTCTGTGTGCAGCGAGAGTGAGGAAAAGGGAAATGACAAGGGAGGAACGCTTGGGGGAGAAGAGGGGGGAGGAGGAGTCGAGGAGGAGGAGGAGCAGCACCCCGCCAGAGGAGGATCCCTTGGGTGACGATAATGACAACGAGGCCCTGCTGGTGGCATCGGTGGAGAATGAGAGGAGGCTAGCGAGGCGACTCCGGCTCAGCCCCAATCCCGAGCATGTGCCGGAGAGCTATGAGGGGATGCGGCAACAACTTGAGTTCCATCCGTCTGTATTCAGAGCTCTGGAGCGCCACCTCCCCACCTGCATGCTCAGGGTCCCCAGGGATGCTAAGCTCGACTTCATGCGCAAGGTCTTGTTCCGGTACCTTCCCAATGGGGATTTTGCAAGGGTATTATGTCTGTTCCCTCCCTATACCCCATGATGACTCCATACTCTCTCTCTCCCCTGTTCCCTCTCTTTTGGTTATTGAGTCTGGCTAAACCCAGTCCACTAAATGGAAATAAATGTATGATCTTTCAATTTAACATTGGCTCACTAGGAATTTAGAATGCGTAGTTCTGTCATGATTTGTCATGAAATAGGGCTTACTAGCAATTTGAATGCATAGATATATCACAATGTAAATGATAAGAACTGTTGCATGGTTCAATGCCTTCATGCATGCACATATGCACTTATATGTGTGAATGTACAAATAGGAGACGTTCCTACATCTTGACAGCCTGTAAAGGCCTGCTTTCACCCAAAATTAGTTGTTACGTCATTTCACAATTCCCTATGAATCTTTGCTTGACTGTGCATCTTTCCTTTTCGTAATTCAATATTGATCTTCTCATCCTGAGGGAGCACTTATTTATGACATCACTACACCTATTACCTTTTATTTCTGGATACTCTCAATGGAGCTAAAGCTTATGCCAATGCCTTGGCTAGAAGGTGTCTTTCTGGTTGCTTCTCTTTTAAGATATGTCTAATCTTTCATTGATTGTTTTCTCTTCTCTTCTTGCCCATGTCTATGACTCAACTTTTCTGCCCCTTTTGGTGCAACTCGACGCATAAACCTTCCTAGCTATGTTATTTGTTATCTATTGGAAAACAAAAGTGCATTGTGCCCATAACATGTCTGAGGTGGATGTTTGGCGTCATTTTGAAGATTTTAAGCTGGAGGTGGTGTTTATGTGCCTCATCTGATAACAACATGAACCTTCCATTGTTGAATTACTCTTGAAAATTGACAGCTTAGGTATCTTGGTTATGGTGGTGCCGATTGCAACAACATTTCCCAAGTTTGAGTCCCACAGCTTCAATGCTTAGAAAAGGTGAAGACCTCTGTATCTTGATTATGGGTTCTTAACCTTTATAGCAGTTTATTTATTACGAATTGTCTTTGACACATCACTTTGGGTGTGCACTTTATCCTGTCCAGGTCTGCAAATGGAGATCATGAAAGCTTTAGATGTTTGAACTTATTTAATTGTCTTTGACCCATCACCTTGGGATTGGAGGTGTCTCCATTTTGCTGGGCCAGGAAGTTTGAACTTATTTAATTGTTGGCAATTTAAGTTTTTTTTTTGAATAAGTTGACAATTGTATTGATTTAAAAAATGAGTGCAACAAAGATCATATATAAAAAATAGGCAACCCAAAATTTCGGTGCCCTGTACAAAAACCACCATGGGCCCAAAAAAATGCTCTACATCAGATTCACAAGAGAACAAAAAATTGCATTGGCTTCTTTAAAAACATGGCTCCAGGTAACCCTCATAGAGCTGGAAATTTGAGAGATTTCATCAAAGATGTGATCAAGTCTCCAGGGCCATGTAGCTGCTCCCAAGACCCAAGTAATTATGTTGCTGGAGTCACCTTCTACTATCAATTTAGTATTCCAGCTTGGGTCAAATCTTTGGAGCCCTTCAAGCAAAACCTTGGCCTCTGCCGTGGTGGAGTCCGTAACTCCAACAAGTAAGGAGAAGGAAAGGAGGGTAGAGCCCTCAGAATTTCTAATAATGCCCCCAATCCCCAAGGGGCTCTGGTTACCAAAAGTGCATCCATCAAAATTAAGTTTGGTTGCCCAGCTTTCTGTAGTCTCCACAGAGGGGAGCGGGAAATCCTCGGAGATCTCAGATAAAGGAGATCATGCCAATTGTGATGCAGTCTGCGGAAGATAAACTTCGAGGGGTATGTGGTTTCCGGCCCAGAAGGAGACAAAGGTGCGGTATTTGTCTATCAAAGAAGGGATGGAAGCTACTTCCCCCCTAAAGATTTTTCTATTCCTTTCTAGTCAAATAGTTCACAAAATAGTAACGATGGAGGCTCTCCAAAGGAATTAATCTAGAATTACTCCAAGGAGTATGCAAGTAGGTAGAAAAGACCTGAGGAGTGGATTGGGGAGTGACCCAATGCCACTTGAAGAGGTTGAGCACATTGGCTCAAAGGGCCGAGGCTACTTCACAGTGGATGAGGAAATGAGACTTTGTCTCTTCTATTGAACGACACATAGCGCATCTGTTTGGAAGAGTGGGCCTCTTCTTTGTAGTTGGTCAAGAGTTAAAGCCTTTTCATGGAGTGTAACCCAACTGAAAACTTGGATCTTTGGGGGGATGGAGGGGAACCATGGGTTTGCAGCTATAACGGGAACAATAGTGATGGGGGAGGGAATCAAGCTAATGGCTTGGTAGAATGCAGCAACTGAGAAGGTCCCTGAAGTGGCAGGAGGCCATATGATCCTATCTTCCCCAGACAGGGAAAGAAAAACCGAGTGTAATAGGTTTGAGACTTGAAGAGTCCTGAAAAGTGTCCAATCTCTTAATCATTGAGGGCCCTTTTAAAATTGGGATTCCAAGTTCTAGAAATTCCTAGAACGGGAAAAACAATCGGTCGCTGTAGAGTTGGGATTAAGGGCGAGCCCTAAGAGAGAGGGGAATTGCTCTTTAAGAGAGCTGCCGCCAACCTAATGTCATGCTAGAATGAAATACTATTGCCCAACCGTGGACGGTACCAGATCCATCACAAGAATAGGCTACAACAATGTTGGAGGTACCTCCAAAAGCTTGAGATATTGCTAGTAGACCTGATAGAGGGTAACCATGTGTGATCTTGGTAGTAGTATTTACGAGAGATGACCTCTCTCCAGTGGTGATTAAGTTGTGTGGCATAGTGTCGCCACCATTTTCCTAACAGGTTTAAATTGGTAGCTCTTAAGCTGTGAATGCCAAGACCACCTTGGGATTTGGGTAAACAACCTTTGCCTAAGAAATAAGGTGAAATTTATGGCCACCTTCACCCGACCACAAGAAATCCCTCGAGTTTTTCCAATCTCGCTAGAATTGATGCTTACATGAGGACGAGCGACATGAGGAAGAGTGGAATATTAGAGAGGGTAGCCTTGATGAGTATCAATCTACCAGTCGAGGATATAAATCTTCCTTTCCAAGCTACAAGCTTCCTCTCAAATTATCATTTATAAGGCTCTAAAAGGTTAAGTCATGGCAAATCGAGACAAAGAGGAAGCCCTAAATAGGTAGAAGGGATGTTGCCTACTGCACACCCCCATTGGTCGGCTAGGCTCTCGACCGAGGGATTGTCTAAAGCAACACCCATCATTTTAGATTTCTCCATATTGACTTTGAAGCTAGTGGCTAACTGGAAGCATTGAAGGAATAGAAGCAGGTAGTCAACTTGTTGCTAGTATGCGTTGCAAAAGACGAGAGTATCATCTTTGTATTGAAGGTGGGATATGGGAGGACCTGACCTTCCTATGTTGAAGCCAATAAGAAAGCTTGTTCGAGACATCCTTGACATGAAGGGACCGAACACATCAGCTACTATGGCAAAGAGGAAGGGCAACAAAGGATCACCTTGTCACAGGGCTTTAGAAGCCTGAAAATATTCCTCGGAGAAGTCGCTGATGAGCACGAAGAAAAATGGACTGGATATGCATTCTTGGATCCATTTTCTCCATCTAGCCTTAAAGCCCATTCTAAAGAGGGTCTCGATAATAATCTTCCGATCTACATGATCATACTCCTTCTCCTAGTCATGTTTGATGATAAGCATTGGGATATTTTGAAGGTGGCGAGAATGAATGCACTCATGGGCTATAACTGCCCCATCTAGGATCTGGTGATCCTTGACAATGATCCCTGGAGTTGGAGAATGGACCCAACCTAGGACTTGTCTTAGGCAGAAGGCGAGGACCTTGGCTAAAATTTTGTACGAACTGTTGATCAGACTTATGGGTCTGGAATCTTTTAGTTCTTCCACACCTTCTGTCTTGGGAACCAGCGCTATGAAAGTGGAATTCATTGTTCTGTGGATTATTCCTCTATAGTGGAACTCCTCTAAGAAGGCCATGACATCTGGTCTCATAGATTCCCAAAAGGCTTTAAAGAGGGCTATGGGGACGCTGTCGGGTCCTTAGGCTTGGTTGGAACTTAGATCATTGATTGCCCTTAGGACTTCCTCCTCGAAAAGTTCTAGTGAGTTGGTTGTTTCGGGGGGTAGGAAAGCAAAGGATAGGTCATCCATGTAGGTTTTTGGACTCCAGGGGGTGGAGAAAAGCTGGGAGAAATAACTAATGGCAGCCTGTTCATATTGGGGAGGTTGGCTCAGAATGCGCCCTCCCACCTTCAGATGGGTGATGGAGTTTTCTCTTCTTTAGCAATTAGCTATCTTGTGAAAGAAAGTAGGATTAAGTTACCTGGACTTGAGCCACTTGAGCATAGATCTCTGGGCTCAATAGATTTCCTCTTTCTTGAGGAGATTGTAATCTAGTTTAGCTTTAGACCTAAGCTCTTGTTTAGAGTGGTAGAGGTTTCGTGGTTCTTCGGTGGAGTCCCAAAATTGTATGGATTGAAGCAAAGTCTCTTCATGGGTTCGAAGGTTGCCAGGTAGCTGGGAACTCCACCACTTCAGGGAGGTCTTAAGGAGCTCAGTTTCTTCTATAGCCTGAAGTCAGCCCACCTGTGAGCTTGGGTAGCGAAGGAATCCCACTTCGAATGAGCCAGAGATGAGAAGTTGGCCTCCTCAAACCATGCAATCTTGAAGCGGAAGGGTTTAGGTCCCCTCTGAATTGCCTGAGTATAGAGTAAGATAGGACGGTTGTCTGAAGTAGGCTTGGGGAGAATGGAGGAGTGGGATCCGGGGAAGAGGTTGTCCCATTCAAGAGAAGTGAGGAACCTATCTAGTTTAAATAAGGTTGGATTGGGGGAGTGATTAGACTAAGTGTATACTGCTCCCTCTAACGGGATGTCATGAAGATGGTTTTGGGAAATGAGATCCGAGGATTGGACCATGGCAGGGGTTGTCCTATCATTGGAATTTCTCTCATGAGACCATCTGGTTACATTGAAATTACCTCTCAGGCACCAAGTGGATGGGCTCAAGGAAGCGACATGTTGAAGTTCTCCCCAAAAGTTGTCTGTTTGAATTGGATCCATGCACCACTGCGTTCTTCCACGAGACCATTTGTGATTCTAGAAAGAATTATTGGGACTGAAAATTGCCCTATGTACTGGTTAACAAGGGCGTGGATGGTTGGATCCCAGAGGACCCATATTCCACCGGAAGCTTCATGAGCTTCTACGGCCACCCATTGGCATGATCTGACACCCCAGGTTTTTCAAATGTAAGAAAGGTCCTAGAGGATCCATATTCCACCTGAAGCTCCATGGGTTTCTAGGGCCACCCATTGGCATGTTCTGACACCCCAGGTTTTTCAAATGTAAGAAAGGGAATGAGAGGGGAGCTTAGTTTCCACCAACCCAAAGAGGGAAGGGCAAAATTTGGTATTGAAGTCATGGAGACAGCTTTGATTGTTTGGGTTACCCAAGCCCCAAACATTCCAGATCAGAATCTTCATGATGAGGAAGGGGGGAGCTGGCCTTGCCGAGCGTCTAGATGGCTGTGGAGCCGAAGACGGAAGGAAGGCGGGTTGAGGGGTAGAGGATTTCCCCTTGTCATAGTTGACTCCGAAATGTAGATTGGTGAGCTCTCGCTGTCCTTTGCGAGTAGTTGCTGGAGCCTTGCCTTTGGCTTTGGCTTTGGCTTTCTTTGCAGCTTTGGTTTGGGCATCAGCCTTGATAAAGCCTTTCAATGCTTCTTTTAGCCCATCAAACGTAAGCCCCATCACTTTGAGTGCCTCGTCGTTATTACCTTGGGCACAATCGAAAGCGTTGACAAAATTAGAGTCGAGGTTGGGCAATGGTTGCTTGACAGCACCAGAATTCTGCTCGAGGAGGGCAAGGACAAGGGCAGTGCCACTGGTGAGGGGAAGGAAGGGGTCCTAGATGAAGAAGGGGCCAGAGAAGGGAGCCACTGGGAAACTTATGAGGGGGTAGAAAAGCTGGGGGTAAAGGGGTTGACGAGGGAGGAGTGGGAGAGAGAGTGATAGGGTGAAGGCGTGGGGGACAACATGGGATTAAGAGGGGTGGATGAAAGGCGGTGGAGGGTAAGAAGTGGTGGGGAAAAGGGAGGAGGAGGCTCTGATGAGGGAAGGATGGATGGGGTTAAGGGGAGAGTGGGTTGGAGGTTGAGAGATGGAGGGGAGAAGGCAGGGGGGAAGGTGGAGGCAGTGGCTGCATGTTGCTGAGAGGTACGGGCGGTGAAAGTTGGTAGGACGCTAGGATGGGATTATGTAGAGTGAGATCAGGGGAAGGGTTGGTGGAAGAAGAGGATAAGGGAGTAGGGTCAAATGGCTTGAAGTGTGGCGGCCTGCCATCTAACCCATTGGAAGGACCTTGAGACGACACGTGTAGGGCGTTCTCAAGAGGGGAAGGGGGAAAGGTCACATGGGGGGCGGGGGGGGTTGTATGAGGGGCATGTTTTACAGTTGGATCCAGCCGTTGAGTGAAGGGTCAAAGCTTGAATGGTAGCAATTGAGAGCAGGGGCAAAGGGTGAGTGGCAGCTGTATTGGACGGACGTGTGGCCTCTGGGGAAAAAGGAGGGAAGGAAGAGGCGTGTTGAGGAAGACAAGCCTCATGGATCAAGTGAGGAGGGGCACTCGCTGGCACATGATTGGACACTGAGGGGTTGATCACGTTGGCCAAGGATGACATGCTGGGGGCGAGGATGGGCGACACCAGTCTCGAGGGTTGTAGTGGATGGGGCTGGATCCCCATCCCTATTGTTGAAGCGATCTCCAAAGGTGGCCCTATGATGAGCTTGTGGGCAGTTGGGAAGTGTCCTCGTTTGTGTCTACGACCATGATCACTCCGACTTCTGCGCTTACGGGATACTGTGGTCCAACCTTCCCAATTCACTGGAGGTTGGTGGACCCTAGGAGCAAGAAGCAAAGTTCTGTGGTCCAGGACATGGGGGGGGGAAGGGGGAACACAAGAAGCTAGGCTAGTGAGATGCAGAAGAATAGGCTGTCGACTTCCACCCATAGGAAACTAGGGATTAAGAAGGAGGGTTTCAACCAGAAGTTGAATGGAACCAAGAGGGAGAGAAGCTGAGGAGTTCCAGTGGATTGAGATGAAAGCCCCACAAGAATCGCAATCTTCTTAAATGTATAAACATGCCATGCTTGGACGGGAATGTGGGAGGCTCTCAACCAAATTTTCTGTGGCTTTTCTCCAATGTTGCAGGGAAAGAGAAACATCTCTGAACCGAATGGCATGGCTTGGGCTGTTAAGAACTCATAGAAGGTTCTCCTCTGAGGGGAAGGAAAATAGGATATCACCCGATGATAATCTCCGACAGGAGAGGTTAGGATTGCCTTAAGGGCTTTGCTCCATTTTTCAATGCTTGAAATGCCATTTTTGTGGGGTTTGAAATGATCCACGAGAGTTAGGCTTGTGGCCCTCTCGATATAAGCAGAATGTCTTCCCCCTACTGAAATGGAGAAAGGGGCAAGCAAGTGAGAGTGAGAAGGATGGAGAGAGGGCGTGGGGTGGGGATTGGGTTGGTGGGAGGCAAAGGATAGGCTCTAGGCGATGGGTTGTTTAGTATTATGATAAGATGAGCATAGTTCTCATAAAATGTAAGGAAGGAAGGAGGAGCGAGGGGAAGCAGATACTAGAGAGGGGCAGGGTGGGGAGCGAATGGGAGAGGGGCATAAGGATGCTGTTGGGTGGAGGGCAGATACGAAGAGTAAGGCGAATATCCCTGAGATGGTGCCATGCATACTTCCTTCATAGGAAATATTAGACTCTTCAATTTTCTTCACTTCCATTTTGCCCTGTTTCTGTAGTTGATATTGATCATTAAATTGGTGTTAAAGATTATTTTTATTTTATTTTATTTTACTTTTTAATTACATTGGTAATAGTTGGCACCATTGTCGTTAGATTATACTATGTTATCCTTTGATTATGTTGTCCCTTTTACACATGTATGGCTCTGGGCTATATATTGGAAACCATTAATTATTATCTTAAAGTAAGGGAATAGTAAGAACCATGCTCATATATCAAAACAAAAAACTAAATCAAGGGAGGCAAGTTGTGAGTTTCCTGTGATATTGTCTGATTCTCTATTTCTATGGGTTGTGATTTCTTGTTATGTTTGATTTTTATGTAATTGTTGTATTAAATTATTTGAATCATGGTAAACAAGATCATTTATCAAAAAAAGGGAGGTACTATTAGTCGTGATTCTTCTATAATATTGTTTGATTCACTATATCTATGGGTTGCAATTTACATTATTTACCACTTAATCATTTTCTTCAGGTGCAAAAAATGAAAGAATATCGGGAGAAGATCTTACAACATTATCAGGTTTGATATTCATACCATATTCTTATCATTCTTCAATAGACCCTGCATGCTACCGAATACTATCTAGTCACCATACTACTTTATCGTGCGTGTTGTAATTTTTAATTTTTGGAATAGTTCATACTAGTCTTATTGAAGCTAAATGGAGGTTTTTTGAGATCTGTCATTAAAAATGCTTTCTTTGATCCATTGTGATCATGTGTTCATCAACCAAATGGACATTGGACATAGGACCAATATTTTTAAATATGAACTTGACTGATAGTTCATCAACCACATGCTTAGTAAATGGTGTTGAGTTTGCTATGTTTTACAATTGCAAAATTGTGGCTTGTGATAGAGAAGTGACATCAACATCATCATCATATCATCTTAGCTCTATCCCAACATTTGAGGTCGGCTACACGAATCTTGTTCCTCCATTTTGCTCTACCAAGGGCCATACCCTTAGTAGGACCATAAGTCACTATGTCTTTTCTCACCACTTCCATCCATACCCCTTTATGCCTTTCCCTTGCCTTTTTAGATCCTTCTACTTACCAAATCGCAACTCCTAAAGGGTGATGTATTAGCCTTACGGGCCACATGGCCAGCCTACCCAAGTCTACTTTCCCTCATCATATCGCCTATTGAAGCCATACGTATGTTCCCTTGAATATATGCGTTCTGAATTCTATCCTTTCTTGTCTTGTCACTCATCCATCTTAACATCCTCATCTCAGCTGCATCTATCCCATGGGTATGTTGTTTATTGACCGCTCAACATTCCATTTCATAAAGTACGATTGGGCTTACAACTATCTTATCGAATTTCCTCTTTTAGTTTCATTGGTATGTAGTAGTCACATAAAACTCCGGATGCACATCTCCACTTCACCTACCTAGCTCTAGTTCTATGCGCGACATCTTCCTCAATCTTTCCATTCTCTTGGATTATCGACCTAAGATATTATGATAGCTGTGAGACCAGCTTTGCTCTATGGGGCGGAATATTGGGCGGACAAAAAAAATATACGCATAGAATGAGTGTTGCAGAGATGAGGATGTTAAGATGGGTGAGTGGCAAGACAAGAAGGGATAGAATTCGAAATGAATCCATTCTGAAAAATTTAGGTGTGGCACCAATAGGCGATAAGATGAAGAGAGTAGACTTAAGTCACCTGTTAGGAGGTGCCAGGTAGTTCAAGTGGAAAGATTGAAAAGCTCAAGGGGTTGGCCCTAAAGGACATGGTTCGAAGTAGTCCGAAAAGATATGGGGATTTATGGCCTCATTGAAGGTATAGCCTTTAATAGAGCAGAATGGAGGGCTAGGATAACCGACCCCAATTAATTGGGAAAAGGCTATAATGGTGAATAATGAGGTATGATAGAGAAGTGATCTAAGCCTCCCAAATGGGAAGCGCTGTTTTAAGCTGCACAGAAAACCAGATAATATTGTGTTAGTTGGTTAGCCAATGAAATTGATACAGTGTTGGCGGACAATTATGGTCAGTGATGTTCATTCTTCAATGCATTCTTCTTTTGGTTTTAATGCATGTATTTTCAAATTTTATTTCCAAACTATTCTTGATATTTTAGGATAGAGATTGAACATTTATTAGGTTTGAATTGTTGTTTTCTACATTTTTTGAACTGATCGTTGATGTGTTTATTGTACATATCATTTAGATAGGTGTTCTTCACCACAGTGAACAACATGTACTAGTTTTAATGAGCTGAAAGCAATACTCTAATCAATTTTCAACCATGGTCCTTTTGTTGGATCAATAGCTCCCAGAGTGGCCCATGAATATCCTATCTGCAATGTGTAGTTGATACCTTAGTGTTTTGTGAGGCTAACCCTCAAAAGATCAATTACTTATGGTTGTTCCTTAGATGTTTCGAGCTGCCCTTAGGGTTAAAGGTATACATGTCTAGAACTTAATTGCTAGCCATTGCCCTATCCTTGGGACCTCTTTAGGAGTTGGCTCTATGGATGGGGTCTGGTACAAAAGCACTTCTAAGTGAATACTTGGGTCTCCCCCTCTATGTCAGGGAGTCAGAAAGTGCACAGTGGGACGGGATTTAGAGAAGTTCGAGAGATGGCTAGCAGCCTGGAAATATTGGTTGCTCTCCTTTTCACGGCACATCATACATATCAAAGTAGCTCTCACGAGCATCCTCCTCGTCGAAGCATATGTGTTTCATGAGGCACTCCCTTGGGAGCAGTGCTGGCAACTTCCAGAAATACCATATTGTTAAGTGGGAGAAAGTTGCTGACTTAGATGGGTGCTGCTGGGCAAGGGACAGATGTTTGCCACCGACCGGGACCATCTATGGCACTCAAATTCCAAGAATCACTACCATATTGATCCTTTGCTATGGTTGCCATCTTGCACCTTCAACACTAGATCATCAGGGCATGAAAGGTAATCAACAGTATTTGTCAATGCTTTCTATGCACACTCATTTCCTTGTGAGAATTAGTGAATTGCTTAGGTTGAACAATTACAGTGCACTTGAAAGGTCCTTCCTAAGACTTTTTACAATCGCCACAGAATAGCAAACCGTAGATGCATAGTGTGGACTCTTCTGTTCTGATGCAACTTGAGCGAAGCAGAAGAAATTGAGTTTCTTAATTTAATGAAGACTCTAGATGCATGTTTCATGCAGTTCTGACAACAATAGACAACTTCTCTGTGTCCCACTTTTTACAAGGCATTCATCCCCTCAATCGTAGCCATAGCCACGACTAAGAAAGTGTGTTTCATCTTGGTGCCACCCAGTGTCCAAGCCTTAAGTTGGTTTGTGGTCCTGATTAAAGTACTAACCTTAGATTCCAAAATAGAGTTTCCCTCTCTCAAATTGTTGTTTGATGTGCAAAAAAGGGTGGAATATGTTAAACTACTTCTTCATCCTTTGTAAGTTCGCCTCATAACTATGGTTCTTCCTCCAGTTATTCAGCATGCCCTGGGTCACCCTGTCCTCCACCAATTGCCTCTTCTAAAGCTAACCTTTCTGCCTTTTGTTTAAATGTTTGTTATTTTGGCATGTAATAGTGCCTGCCATACTCTTGGCTTATAGGTCAAATGTAAATGAAGAACCTTCCAAGGCATTGAGCTCATAATGTCCATTTTTGTAGATCAAATCTAGTCAACAATTGCCTCATGGACCCTTTCCTGCAAGGAATTCTTTGGCTACTCATACCCTGAATTTGCTCGCCATTGGACCCATATTATTTGGGACAATCCTGCAAACATGGGCTGATCTTCTCTCTGGATCCCACCTGCTCAAAGCGTGATCTGACTAAACGTTGATTGATGCTTTGTTGGCAGCAAATGTGGGTGGAGTGTCCAAAAAATCACTTAGGCAAATCCCTTCTACCCTTTTTTGGTCTTGTAGGCTTGTCTGACTCTACAATGACTGAAATCCTCACTGGACTGAGGTTTTTTTATCATATCTGGGGTAATCAATTAGTTGTTCAAGATGATTTAGAAAATGTTATTACATGGGCCAAAAAGGGGTCCCCCTACCCTCGGCCATTGGAGGTTTGGAGCGTTTGTCACAATGTTTTCGAGTTATGCTCTTCTCTTTGGGATGTCCTTCTATACTCTTCTCTTTGGGGTGTCCTTTAAGCACATCTGCAGAGAAGCAGATTTTGTTGAAAAGATACTGTAGCCAAGATTGGAGCACACAATTCTACTCTCTCTGTATTAGCCACAATTTTGTACTATTTCTGATACAAGTTTACAAACACAAAACTTCAATACATTACCCTTTGTTGCCTTCCAAAGATAAGAGAAGGATGGTCAGTATATGCACAAGGAAGATCATGAATGGTAGGTCCAGTGGCAGGGGGCTACTGGGCTTGATTCTTGCCTGATGAAGGGTGGATTGTGAACATGGAAGGGGAGAGGTGATAAATAAAGCAAGGATCTTGGTAGGTGAAGTTCTGTATGCAATGAGCAGGTTATCAATATAAACTAGATTATTTTCAATTGTGTGAGTGACATTTTTTGTTAAACTTTTTAAAGATTAATTGTGGGGATTTGACCTCTTTACATAGAAATAATTTCACAATACCTGAGGCATAAATCCCATAACAAAAAATAATGAGTATGACGTTAAACTTAATTTTTATTGGAAGTAAAGGTAAGTTATTATGAAAAAATGATAAAATAGGAATAAAAGAATAAACTTTGAAGGCCATCATCATTCGGTGTTTTCCGTTCCTGTTTGTCTGGGTTCCATCAATGTCTACCAAGATTCTCCATAATATGTGAGGCCTATTTGGAGTGGAGTATATATCGGGGTGCATGTGTGCTTGCATGCGCATGCTTTGTGTGTGTGTGTGTGAGAGAGAGAGAGAGAGAGAGAGAGAGAGAGAGAGAGAGCACTTGGAATAAGGTTTTCCTTATTGCAGTGGGTTGAATTTTTCCATGGGCAGATATGAGTCACAGGCCTGCCATACAAGCACCATTTTTCACATTCCGGTGGGTGGCTAGATTGTGGAATAACACAATTTAGGGGTACTACCCTAAATCATGTCCTTTTATTTTCGATACGCAGATACTGTTAGGTTGCGTCAGTCACAGTTTCAGTTTGGAATTTGAGCTTGGCCCCATGAATACAAGATGGTTTAGATTGTGGGTTCCACTGCAAGTACCTCTATTGGCCATTGTACTGGGCTTCGTGCAGCTTTGTCTGATGATAGTTTTCAGATTTTCTGATAGTTTATGTAAACTAGCGTTTTAGATCATGAAAATGTACTTGTTTGGATAATCATAACTGATTTAAGAGGAAAAGTGTTGAAGCATGTTATCAAGCTTTTTTGTTACTTAGGATATTAAATGGTGACATTAGATTAGTTGATTTAGTGGTTATAAATTTATGCCATGTTTCTTGATTTTCTATTTATTTGTCGTTTTGTTTTTTGTTTAGTGCAGCCTCTGCATAAAGAGCTGTACGTTATGCACCCTACTGCTTTTTTTGTTCCGTCTTTTCTTAAAGCAATCCAAGAGAATACACTGGAGAGCTTTGGTGCTATTTTAACTGAACCATCACCAGGAATCTACACTTTTGATATGCTTCAGCCGCGATTCTGTAATTTGCTGTTAGCTGAGGTATCATTTGTCAATCTGTGCTTTTTAGGAAATGATAGAACTTGAATGCTCTTTAAAGCTTATGTGGGAAAGTTGAACTCATCTTTACATGAAACTTTGGAGTTCCTAGGTCGAAAATTTTGAAAAGTGGGTCCACCGAAACAAGTTCAGAATAATGCGACCAAACACAATGAACAAGTATGGAGTCGTTCTGGATGACTTCGGCTTGGAAGTTATGCTAGATAAACTGATGGATGACTTTGTGTGTCCCTTATCTAAAGGTAGCTTATATCATTTGGTATGATATTAAAAATATCTAGATTTTATGTGGTTTGCGATTAGAAATGTCATTTGTGAACTTTTGTCATCTCCTGGTTGATTTTTATGCCTCACATTTTTTCCAGTTTTCTTTCATGAAGTTGGGGGATCTACTCTTGATTCACATCATGGTTTCGTTGTTGAATATGGGCAAGATAGGGATGTTGACTTGGGTGCGTTGTTTCTCCTCTTGTTGTTGATATCCTATTTTCATTTGCAATTATGCTGTATGTAGCTAAGTTGACAAATCGATACAGTTTATTTGCATTTCATTGCATCCCTTACTGTTGTTTCTCATGGTTTGAGCTTAGGTTATTGTGGTATTATATTTTATTTTATCTTTTTGGTTAGATTATTATGTGCTTTTGTAATGTGTTAATAACGAAGGAAGAACATCACTAAAATAGTAAACCAACCTAAAAAAAATCATTAAGGTGGTCAAATCATACAATTTCACAGTAAAGTGGTTATTTTACACGATTCATTTCTCTCTGGTAAAATTTTGTTTGGATAAGACTGTAATTTCACCCTACTTAAGTGGCCTGAGCCAAATGACATGGATATCCATGCTTGTTCAGGTTTTCAAGTCCGGAACATGTTTAAATCTATCGTTCAGGGTTCCTTAAATGGAATAAGAAGGGTATTTACTTCATTTGGCTTAGGCCAAGGTGGCACAAGGCAAATGACCGATGAACCATTAGTTATTTAGGTTTAGGGACTCAGAGCTCATCTTTTTCATTGGCTATGCTTGTTTGGGGTTCCTAACCCTAAAGAACGAGGGTACTTTGTCATCATGCTCATACTACTAAGTGACCTGAGCAAATTGTCGATTATATTTCCACTTGTCCAGCAATTGAATTCTCACTTTTCCATTAGAAATGCTTGTTCCAGGTTCCCAAATTTGCCCAAGCAGGGCCACTTAAGCGCTGTGAAATTACTGAAACTGCTACTTGTTTAGGGTTTTGAATCCTGAAAGGGCAATTTGGGCAGTTTTAGACAATTTTTTTGAGGAAGTATGTAGTGATATCTATGTTGTTACCTAACAGAATACTAATCCATTAGATAGCTACCCACTTGTTGATAGCTACCTACTAGTAGTATCTACTGGGATAAAAGGATTGTGGCCATGTCTCTAGATTGAGGTTGTTCTCCCACTCCCTACCATCTGGATGTTCGTCTAGGATTTCCTTGAAAACAAAGTTGTCAGATTGTTATTTTAAAATCATTCACTGTTCTAATGTTAAATCGGATGATTTGATCACTGTAATGATTTTTAAGGTCTTCTCAATTAAAATCATTCACTGTTCTAATGTTAAATTGGATGATTTGATCACTGTAATGATTTTTAAGGTCTTTCTAAATAATTAACTAGTTATACGTTGCAGAATTCAAGGTTTAATATACAAAGTTGTGTATTTCTCTTTTTATCCAGTGATCCACATGGCTTGCAACTCTTTGCTGTAAAAGTTATTTGAAATTTTGGTTTTGTTGTCTTGGGCATGGTTGTTGTCATGGGCATGGTGCATGAGTTGGTCCAGTACACTCCATATCATGTGATTCAATGTTTTCATGATATCTTGGGTTTAACCTAGTAAATTGTAACTCTTTGAAAAAACAGAACTTGGGAGGTATACTCGTTTAAATGTTTTAGAATGGCTGATTCCAACATAAGGTGGAAGTCATGGGGGGAGAGTTGGAAACTGGGGTTGAAGGGTGGTGGTTTGTGTTGTTGTGTTTTGGATAGGTTGTCCTTAGTCCTTACTCTTGGTGAAGGTAATGGTTATTGTGCAATTTAAAGGTCCTGGATGTAGAGATGGGTCGGGTGGTGATGTTGGAGGGGTCTCAATTTATGCAGTTCCGAGACAGTTGAGAAAGGAGTTACAAGAAGATGGTGCTATTTCAATGGTCTAAACGGATGGAGAATTCTGGATCTGTGCTGAACTCTCTTCTTCTTCTTCGTGTTATTTTTAAGATGGAATCCGAGGGATCAGTTAGCTATTGATGTGTTTTGGTCTTGTTTACTCGGTTTATTATGAATCTTTGGAGTTACAGTGATTGTAGTGGATGGAAATAAGTGTGTCTGGAACTATGGATTTTTTCTTTTTCATTAGATTCAGTTGGGTCTTCTCGATTTTAGGAATGCTTTCTTTTCCATATTCGGACCTTGAAGGATCTAGTGCTCATTATTCTTTGGGGAAGCTATTGGGTTGTATGTGGTTGTGAAGCCCTCGCTTCTAAATTTGAAATGTCAGTAATGAGCTTTGACCTTCAAAGTAGGTTTTTCTTCAAGGTAGTTTATGTGAGCGTTTATCCATTTATAAGAGTGTGCGCATGGTGGTTGGTAAATTTGAACCCAATCGTAGTAGATTGTCAGGTTTATTGGATAATTCAACTCACAACCATGGGAGGGGTAATCTTGCAGCTTGTGAGGACCTTTTAGCTCGTGATCTTAAGGATTCTGACTATCTAGAATCTTTATTTTCATTAAGTTGTTTCCAAAATCAGCAGGTTATAGGTTGGAACTCGCCACTAATCTTCGCTACATGCTCAGATGAAGAACAAGATCTCTTGGGAGAGTCACCAGAGCTGATCTCTGACAAGGAAGGTTGTGATTCTATGTTTGATGGTGAGCTTGTCTTTGATAAAGAGGCAGTCTACGGTGAAGAACAAGATTTTGTAGGTGGTTTGATCTATGATGGAAAATGAGATATTGTGGGTGAACCAATTTTTGGTGAAGTACTTTGGGAAGAAGTTGAGGAAATTGGTAACCCTTCTCTATGGGATACTGAGGAGAGATTTTGAAAAGGTTGATGAAATCCTAGATGGTGAGGTGAATCAGGAAACCCTAGTGTCTATTTTGATGGGAACCTAGGGTTTGATGCAATCTTGATGGCTGTGGGTAATTCTATTTTTAGGAAGAAAAAGTCCCAAATGACGGGTATTCAAGATTTATTAGGACTCTTTACAGTTGCAAAGGTTGATGATGAGAAAGAAGGTTTGGAAGAGTCGGTCATTCTAAAGAGGAAGATAATTCTGATCGTGTTAGAATTCCATGAGCTAGAGAAAGAGAAAGATGATGATGGACCTCAAAGGAATCTTGAAATCTCTAAATTCATGTTGGCGAGGTTGCTATAGTAGGTGTTTATGAAGTGGTTGATGATGTTTTCCTTGATATTAAGATTCAGGCTGTAGATGAGGTGATTTTGGGTACTGCACATTTGGCAGAGCATAATTGTCATTTGTAACTCAGCATCACCAATGTTGGTACTCGTTGGAAAACTTAGTCGGAGCTCTATGTTGTATAGATTGTCTCTGTTGGCTTCCCCATTAATTTCATCAGAAAAAGCCTCTTTAAGCCTAAAAATTGAGTTTGAAGTTTCCTGCACGACTTTCAACGAGAGCTCAAGGATAGCTGTTTTTGATAAATTTGTACCAATTCCTTACTATAAATATCAAGATCAGTTTCTTGAAGATTTCTTCATACCACAAATAGTCTTTGGGCCTACAAAGTAGAAGAATGTTGAATAACAAGATGGCTTTGATGTTGGATTTATCTATCACACCTCAAAACTTGAGAACGTGTTTTCTCCAGCCAGGGGAGTCTAATGCAGGACGTGATGCCTCTTATTTTTGAATTTTTCTTATTAAATTTCAGAGATCTTTTTTTGGGGATTTTGTAAGGTTGTTTTTTAGGTTTTGTAATTTTTTTTTAAATTTTAGGGGTTTTAGGATTTAAGGGCTGTTTGAAAAAGTAGTTATGGTGTTCACAGATTATTTGTTTTATTATGGGTGAAAGTGTCAATATTTCTGTATGGAAGTTTTTTTTAATTAAGACATCTATTTCAATTAGAATTAGGATTTCTTGGGTTCTAAGTAAGGTCCTTTATTATAAATAAGTATTCTATAGGGGTTTATTATTCAAAGTTGCATATTATGTGTCTTTAAGAGTCCTGGTTAAAATAGAGAGCTAAGAAGCTCTCCTTTTAGGTCTTGCTCTTTAGTTTACATATCAATTGATTACTTGATTTTTTTTGCAAAATTTCTTCACTGCATTATGAAAATATTCTCTCGGCACTGATCTTGCATCCTTTTATTTCCTCAATTATTGTAGGTGGCAGTGTGACAGTGCAGTCAGTTTGGTTTTTCTGTTACATTTTTAAATCCCTTGATCCTATATGATATTGTTGAGTCAACATGTTACGAATCAGGTATTTAGATGTGGATCTCTGCAATATGTAGAGGTCGGGGGTCAAATTTTGATATGATCGAAGTTCATTATCGGGTAGCTAGGATTTTGAAAAGGCGAATTCCTGTGGCATTTTCAAGCAGTATTGATCAATCTGAATTCAGATATTGTGCAAATCATGCAAGAGTATTATTATTATTATTATTATTTTTGGGTTTTTGTTTTTAAAATAGTGCTGTCCTAATAGTTTGTTAGGAAAAGATGGAATGAAATACAATATACAGTTACTATTAGATGCAATTAAATACATTATATACAGTTATTCATCTCAAAAGAAAAATAAATTGTTAAGAAAAGGATTCTGATTTGCTTCTTGATCAATTTTTGCTTACATGGGAAACATGTGGTGGTTGTAGCAATGATAAGAAGAGATGTCTAGTTTGTAGGATGGAGGCTTGGAGGCTGGGTCGTTGCTAATTCATGAGATAGCTCGAGTGTGTAGTTATGGTGGGGAGAGAAGTGGAGTAGAGATTATGGTCTGTCTACCTGTCATCAAGTATCTCAATACCCTTCTAGAATTTCATGACCTTTTTAGGTCTTTCTTCATTTTTTTAATCAATCACATTGTTTTCTTCATGGTTTTTTTCTGAAATCTCTTCAGTAAATCTCTTGGAGAGTATTAAACTCTGTATTTGGCTGCCTATGAGGATGAGTTCTACTAAGTCTTATCATTTTCAATTAGGCTTGCTTATCACTAGGCTGTGTCCTACTCCAGGTGTAATTTTTGAGATATTGCAATGTGCCTCCCTAGCATTGTAGCATTGGCTAGAACGGAACTTTGCTCAATATTAGTATATATTTTCGGACATGTCTTATCTTGGTTATTTTGTATTTTAAGTTATATGTTATTGTGTTAAACCGTCATCTTTCATACTCTCTATCTCTTGAGGATTGGTCTGAATTTTCAATTCAAAGCCACCATTCAAT